ATTTTTTCAGTTTTACACATTTTATAGAATTTTGCACATTGTTTTGAAATAGCACATTTAAAAACAACATAAATGTATGTACTGTTCATGAACGGCAGAGAAAATACTATTTTGATCGACTTTGATTAATTGTTTGAAATTCTGTGATTACTACACAGAAGTACTAAATAAAGATGTTTATATTTATTCCAGTTCTCTGTGTTAAATATCTAGGTGTTTTTATGTGAATGTGGGTCTTTTAGATCAATTTTAGTGATTTTGATCATGTTTCATATTTTATTGTCACATACTGGCGCTGGTCTTGGTCTTGACTCGGTCTCGGACCCTAAAAGTCTTGGTCTTGTCTCGGTCTCGGGTTAGGTGGTCTTGACCACAACACTGCAGGGTTGTCTATGTGCATTTTTTTTCAAAAATTCGAGAAAATCCTCCACTCTACCTTTAACATCAATCAAATTTTTTTACTATTATGTATAAACTAAACAACCAGTAAAAGGAAATTATAACTGACATGTATTTTTATTTTATTTTTTGCATTTTTAACTAATAACACCTTCTTCTGGTACCACTTGAATTCAGCCACTAATGCAACAAGCATTAAAATACAGTAGTGAGCTACTCTATATTCGATAGTTGCATCCACACCAAGGATAATAAACCTTTAAAGCATGTGCTTTTATAGATGCCTCTAATAAAAGCTGCAGAGCCCTCTAAAAGTATTTAGCAACACCACCATTCAGTATATTAGGAAACATGGAGGTGGCACTGGCAGCATCATACTGAAGGGATGCTGTTCAAAAAATGCTCTTTAAAATGGTAAAATGCGTGTTATGTTCTCTCTACCTCTCAATTACAGCTGCTTTGTGTTAGTCTGTCATATTAATATGTTTACAAAGCATTGTAACGTGTTGCTTTGTTTCGCTCTTTGTCTAAATTCGGTCCAACCAGTTCTTCACTAAGCAGTATTCATGTACAGTGACTCATAAGCTGAACAAACAGGGATAGTAGATTGCCAAGCAAAGCTGTCAAACAGTAATCTGTTAAATATATGGAGTCATTGGGACTTTTTGTGATAAATACAAACATATATTTTTGTTTCAGACTGTGTTAAATGTAACAACAGTAGCAGAAGGTCGCCTAAAGGAGCTCAGAGTTACTGGAGATTGTCTGATCCAAAGATTACAGGAAGAAGACCTAAAACAAAAGGTTCAGGCAACGATTCAGAAAACAGAGGAAGAGTGGAAGAACCTTTTAGAATCAGTTCAGCCTTATTACAGGTAAACAGGCCCAAATATATATCTTTGAAAAGTTCATGTTTGAACCACCAGAACATCACCTCCTTTAGTGGTCCTGTTATTTAGGAGCTTTTATAATTGTCCTGTCTTGTGTTGCTGTAGGGCGCTGCAAGATGATTTAGAGCTCACCTCGCTGTATCTGACCAGCAGACAAGAGGCCTGCTGTAAAGTGAAGGAGCTGCAGCTCCAGGCTGAACAGCTTTCTGCTCCCTTCCCCTGGCCGGGCACAGCTGAGCGTGCACAGGCCTCCCTCCTGGCCCGTCAGATGGAGGCTGAATCCGAATCACTGAACTTAACCCTAATAAACCTGGAGGAGAAGAGAAATGAGCTGGCTAACAAAACCAGGAACCCTGTGTGGAAAGATTTCTCCTGGGATGAGTTAGAGACCCGTCAGTCAGCACTTATGGCAACAATAAAGGTAAAATATTAGCATGATGTGTTTTAAGGGTTATAACGCAACCCTGAAATAGATGAGAAATAATAGAATACAATTGTCTCCACTTTTTAGGTCTGAGTCAGTATGAAAAAGGGAAAATAAATTGAGAAAAATGCTTTTCTTTCTTTATCTATTAAAAAACAAACAAATGAATAGCTGTGTCCTTTATTCGTCAGATATTTTTGCAAGGTGACATATTTTGAGTTTGCTATAGTAAATAAATCTATACCCCAAAGATAAATGATCATGTATCTAAAACTGAACAATGTATAAATAACGCCAGTGATTAAAGACCAATAGATCAAAACCGCAAGTAAAAAGTTATTTAACTGCTTTTCGGCCGAGACTTTTAATTTGGTCAATACCAAAAAAAAACCTTCTTTCTACAATTATTCAAACAGTTTTCTAGCTTTTACAAGAATTTATGATAAATAAACAAAGTGTATCCTACTTTTTTCATAAATAAATTTATTTTATAATAAAGGAGGGTCAGTTATCACATGGATGTCAGACTTTATCTTTAAAATACCATGACGAACAGGTTTAAAGTTGTTTTCTGAGATCTCAGTTTCAGACTGTTGCTCTGTCTGCCTGGAATGTCCACAGGGTTTATGTGCCCGGCTTGATAAAGGTTTGAGTGATGAAGAACACTTTGACCAGTTACTGAAAGAGTGCCGCCATCGTTTGACAGCTCTTCATGAGAAGACAGCAGCCTTCCAAAGCCAAAAGGACAGCTTAGGCGGTCTCAAGCCTGATGCAGAAGCTCTGGAGGTACAACCCTTTCAGAAAGATAACCATACACTCTCCGTCCGCTGACTTAAACACATAGTTATTTTTAACTGGAATCCTCATGTATCGGAATGTATTGTTTCACATGTTGATCTCTTTCCTTTCTTAAGGCTTTGCTGAAACAAGTTGCTGAAATTGAAGAAGATCTGTTATTGCTTGTGACGCTGAGGGACTCCTTTATAGCCTGTTCCACAGCAGAAGGCCAAGCCAGCCTTTCAGATCAGATCAGTACTCTTCAAAACCACAAGAGGGCAATAGAATGTGGCCTCAAAGAACTCATTCAACCCTCAATCCTGCAGGAGGAAAAACTTCAACAAGTTAGGAGAAAAGCTTTTCTCATACAGACAGATCTAAGCAGTCTGGCCAAAAATGTGGAGGAGCTGTCTGTGTTGCCAGATATCCGCCAGGTGACACAGCAGCAGCAGGCAATGCAGGTAACATAAAAAATGCTGTAAAAAGTTATTAGATCCCCAGATAACTCATTGAACCACACATGTATGTGGATGTTTTAAGTAAAATAAGTATTGTGTTTGTCAGGACTGTGATAAAAGGATGACAGAGTTGGCTACCAGAGTTAATGACCTGAAGAGGATGAGAGAAACACAGGAAACGCTTCCTGCAGAGGCGGCTTTTACCATCAGCACTGTTTTAAAAGACCTTTCCAGGTACATGTTCTTATGAAATAAATCATGCATCTCACAAAGGATAACATTGTGTAACATTGTAAAGTCATGTTTTGTGAAAGTTTGTGGATAGTCTTTTTTTCATTTTAGATTCCTGTTTTTTATTTCAATTCCCATAGCTTTTATAGCCTTGTAACTTTTTCTTATAGTGTGACTGGTGAACCTGTTTGCATCCATTTGCCATTTTGCTTTGCTCTGACAAACATTTCCGCTGACAATAAAATATTTCTGTTTCTTACTATATATGAAAAACCGGGGAATTCCTAATTTAGCAAGGAAATTCTGGACTGAATGAAAAAAAACCAATTTCCCTCACTGTACCAGTATTTCCAACTTTATTTTGTGTGTGTGTGTGTCCTGTCTGGCAAGTGGCAATAAAATGAATGCCAGAAAGAGCCCAACAGATTAATTTGATTGTCATTACACTGTCACAAGTGCAGAGCAATAAAATTCACTGTTTGCATTTAAACCATCCCCTTGGGGAGCAGTGGGCTGCCATTGTGCGGCACCTGGGGAGCAGTGTGGGGTTAAGGGCCTTGCTCAGAGACCCAGACTGTCAGTCCGTGGGAATGGGGCAATGCCCTACCAAATAGGCCACAAGTGGAGCATTATCCCTTTCGCCATAATGCTTTGCTTGATTTATATATGTAAACAGTTTTTTTACTTTTATTTATGCAGGAAATAATTCATGTTATGTGAACACTACAAAAAAAAGCGAGAAAAGATGAAAGAAAGAGAAGACAAAAGAGAGTTATTCACAAAACTCCATCAGTTTGCTTCATCACCTGCAAAGAGTGATTTAAAGAGACAGCACAGTCAGCTGATATAGACCTACAGATACAATAAGGGATTTCCCCTTTTTTCAATAAATCAAATTCTCTAGTGCAAATGAGATAATACAGCCTACATCATCAGGCTCATCTAATAATGCAATAAAATTTGCAGCAGAGTAACAGAGTTATCAATGTGGTGGTTTATGTTAAAGTAACCAAGATAAAAACAGTTTGAATTCCATGAAAACTCACTTTTATCAGTAATTCATCGCATTTGTTTTATTTTTAAAACACTTTGTGTCCCAAATATAGCCTCAAGTCAGTTTTCAACAAGAAGAAGCAAGAATATTTTGAAGCAACCGCTGAGACAGTAAGAGGACTCATCGGAGAGCTAAAGCAATGCAGCCGAGCCGCACAAGTTCCAACATCATCACGCAGTCAGGTAATTTAAAAACATGTACTTCTATAAAGTAGCAAGCATCGATCAGGCTTGGATTTAAAATGCTCATCAAATTATATATAGATTACAGTTAGATAGCTTCAACATTTATTTATTAAAAAAAAAAAATAGAATTCAGAAAATTGTTATTTGAAACTATAGAATGAATAATCCCTTAAATGTAGTTGTAGTTTTTAAACAGTAATTGTGCAGAAAACTTACCATTTCACCCTTGAATGGAACATGATTGTTAAAACAAAGTGATAATTGTTAAATAATTAGGTGGGTTATCCGGTCGGGTCAGTCTGTCACTCCTTGGCAGGTGGATTTTTATCTGTAGTAAAAAAAAAAAAAAACATTTCAAGTTTAGACTGTTGTGACACTTTAAGTAATTTTAAATAGAAAAAATATTTCTGAATGACCAAATTTGTCATATAAGGGAGTGAATTATGTACTAGCCTTCCTCAGGCCAGCTAACCTGTGCAGGTCAACAGGCATGGAAGGAAAGGACTTTGTTGCCCTCTCTGAAACTTTACAAAATATTTCCTATTTTTTTTATACTTTGATTCTGGTAATCAGCCATCTTTTGCATTAACTATAACCCAAAAACATTTCTCCCTTTGCTCAAAGAGCTTCTCCATGCTTTTTCTGGACTGTATTAAAATTTCTGTGGATTTTTTAATGAAACTGTAATGTCAGGAACTAAAGCAATAGCAGCAAATATATGACTGATAATAACTCAGAGTTTTTTCTTTGCAGAAATACATGCTTGAGTTTGCAAAGTCCTTTTCCTCTAAAACTGACAAATTTAAGCCATTTCTACTGTAGGAAAGATGTAAATTCAAATTTTGACTAAGTTTAAACAGTCAGTCAAAAACGCCCCAGCACTCCAATGCCTTTTATAGGCCTACACTTTGTGTTAACAACATGAAATTTACTTTTTTTTTTTTTTGCCACTCAGTTCCAAAATGCATTTTCCTTCCTTATGCTTCACTGAGCGTTAAAATGCCACAGTTTGTCCTGTAAATTATAATACTAGCAAATCCCCCTGCTGCTATTCTTGTTGGACATAAAAAGTCTGAATTCCAGTTCAAGATTTGCTTTTAAACTTAAATAAAGAACCTCTGTGTAAGGTGTGTTTTCGTGAGTATCAAAAAATGTTTTGGTCTAAAACCCAGCTAATCCACAGCACAGACTCATTTTTCTATAATATTTAATGATAATAATTGAACTTTATTGATCTCACATTGGAGAAGTTTAACTCTGCATTCAACACCCATCCTCTTGAGGAACAGGGCTGCCATCGTGGGGCGCCCAAGGAGAAGTATCGGGTTAAGTGTCTTGCTCAGGGACCCAGAGTGGCAGTCTGTGGGAGTGGGGCTTGAACTATTTAATAAATTAGAACCAGTAAATGATAAAAGTAATAGGTATAATAGAAACGTGTTTTTAATGATTTTTGGCTCTTCCATAGGTTGATCAGGATAAATGTTTCCAGCTTCAACAGACACTTTGCGACGTTCTCGCCAAGCGGGGCATTTTTGTAGATATTCTTGGAGAAGAAGTGATGAAAACTGCATCAGAGGTTCTCAATGAAAGTCAACAATTAAGTGATTCTCTTTCTAAACGCCTGGTGAGGATCTCACATTTCAAGAATTTAGCAGTTATAAGCCTGTAAGATAATTTATAAAAGGTTAATTTGAATATTTTTTGGTTTTAATTACATTTACAAGGTCGGTTGTGAACGAATGCAAATGGAGGAGCGGCCAAACCAAGGTGAAGATGGCTGTTTAAGCGATGAAGATGGAACCACATGTTTAGATGTAGATGAAAAAGCTGCAGACATGTGTGATTTTGCATCAACACCTGCAACAGACACAGACAGTCACCAAAATGGTGACAAAAGCCAGCATTTAACCCAACCTCAAACCTGTCTACCAGGAGCGTTAAAGGAGGAAACTGATCCCACCAAATCGACTCAAGAAGACAGCTCTATTATGAGTAAAAGAGGAAGTATCATGGAGGTTAACAAAGATGATGATTTAGCTAACATTCAAGCACCGTGCTCTGACAGCAAAATTGTGTTAGAAACAAAAGTACCTTCATTTGGTTCAGGAAAAATAAACCAACAGATTTCAGCTGAGTCAGATTATGATAATCAAAGTCAACTGGGGGTGATACCTTCTGGTAATACTACAGAGATATTTACAACCGAGACGCAAAGTATTGAAGTGTTGCACAGAGGCTTTACCTCAGCCTTGGTCTTAGATCCATCTGATTCAGACAGTCCCAACAGCAGCAGTAATTTACCTAGAATCACATCACTAAAAGAATCAACTGAATCAACCGTTCAGACCATTTACGATGTGGGTAAACATCTCCCAACAGAATCCGATAAATTTGATGCCTTTAAAGAAAAACATTCTGTGAGCTCAACAGAAGTATTTATGGTCAAACCTGAGGTGGAGACTGAAAGAATGCAGCAAGAGGAAAACACGACTATGTGCAATCCAGATGTGCTTAGGTGCAGTCAGGAAAAAGATCTGACTGAATTCCCTCAGAAAGCAACTGGATTCTCCCCAGTAGGAGTCCATCCAGAGTCAGACAAACCTCCCTGTATGAAAGCTGCACATTCAGAGGCTTTTAAGGAAGGTCTCTGTGCAAAGGAAGACAGGCATGATAAGCTAGTCAGTAGAAGTCAAGATAAAGTGTTCACCGTAGTGTTGGACATGCATTCATGGGACATACAACCAAGTGGATACACTGGGGCCAGCAGCCCAGATGGTTTCAGGTGGTCCCTAGAGGCTCAACACTGTGATATAAAGCTGGAAGATAATTCAAACAGTGGATTTAGTGAGAAGAAACCAACATGTTTACCCATTTCAGGCAGCCCTGGGTTGCATGTTAAAGAACTGGAGTCTGAAGCAACCTCCCTGGTTTCCCAAATTAAAAGTAAGGAGAATCAATCAACCCAATCAAAGTATGAAGAGGCGCTGACATTGTCTAAATCACATACGTTTGAGACTGAGCATTCAGCTGAAACAACATTCCCAGTCAGCAAAAAGGAGCAGAACATCTGTCAAGCTGAAGGAAAACCTGAGAGCCCTGCCCTGTGCTCTGCAGAAGATCCAGTGCCAAATCAAGGGGAAACCGAAACTGCAATACAAATGAATACAAGTAACAATAAACACATCATGACTGGTTACGGTGGAATGAACACAGGTGAGGGGGCAGCGCAGGGAGGAGCTTCTGATTCTGAATGCACAGATGGGAAACACTGTGCAACACCAACGGGACGAGAGAGTCCTTCACTGCTAGATGGACAAAACAAACGGAAACCAAATGGAGTGCTGCAGGAAACTGTGTTACCACTGGTGAAGGTAAGCTATGCTAGTGGCACATTTCTTCTATTAAATTATTTTGCTTTCTCAATGTAATAATGAATTAATAAAATTTCAAATCTTATAAACATACTAAAAGATGAGGCCCCAAACCTTGTATTTAACATATTTAACCCCTTTAAAACAGATTATAACTGCTCTACAGTCCCCAGGCCTTCTGAGACCACCTCAGTGTTGCTAGACTGAGAAGAACTAGTACAAATTTCCATCAGTGTAAAGGCCAGGATATGTTTTCAAGCACTTTTTTATTTATTCTTTTGTCCATTCTTATACTTAACTCAGAAGTCGGTAGCTTTAAAGCTTAGAGAAAATAGTGACATCATCGGTGTTAAATGGCTCAGCAAGGGCACAGGAGGTTAAGGATCAAAGCAGAAACAAAACATTGACACATTTATACAGAGGTTACATGGTTTTTTTTATATATATATATATATATATAGATATATATATATATATATATAAGCCCGTACCCATTTTCTTTACTAAATTTTTTTTAAGATTTTCATCGTGAGGCAAAGTTGTCTTTGACATTTACAGCTGTAGCTCACAGTCAAGAATAAGGGAGAGACCAAGAGAGAAAAGTGAAGAGAGAAAAGTCAATTTTAAAGCTCTTATTTTATGATGATAGTACAGGTTTGCTATATGAATGTCACTCATCTTCAAAAGTTCATTTTGAAGGTTTTTGGAAATCCACAAAAGAGAAGCTAAAATTAGAGCCAAAGGCTGCACAAGCTGGGCTCAGTGCAAAAAGATACTTTCTGAAAAGTCTGCCTCTTAACGCACTTCTCTCCTGTCTCCTGTCACTTCTTTTAGCATTCAGGTTTCTTCCAGTTGTTTCTAGATGCCAGAAGTTTTTCTTTTGGATTTGTTTGTTAAAGAAAAAGTTTGTCATTACATCATCAGTCCTTATCGTGGTTAACATCTGTTTACAGGGTTGACTGTTCAGCCAGTGAACAAAGCTTTACTCTGTTGTATGAAATAGGTGTCTGTTATAAAAGTTTTACTAATTTATAATTTTTTTTCCTATATTTAAAATTTTGACTTAAAACAGGCGGACAAGAACAGGTTCACAATAGTTTTGCATCCTGCTTAGTGGAATCTAACAGAATATTTGATCTCTTGATAATTCAGTTATTTTTATAGCCATATTTCAATTGCTACCCTCTCAGTAAAATCTGTAAAAATAGTTATCTAAGAGAACAAAGAAATAAGAATGCATTAAAATAAAAGCTGCTTCTTAATGTTGTTTGTTTTTACCAAATAAGTGTTGAAGAAGCAGTTCTAGGTTTTCCTAATGTGGATAATTTTCTCTTCCTGGTTGCAAATCTGCATATATGTCCTGTTTTGACATCACATAGAAACCAGCAACAATACACACCTTTGTCAAGCTCCTCTAATTTAGCAAGGCACCACCCTTCTTTGTAATCTAGTAACCAGTTTTTGTTGCCCAGTTAGGCCACGCTGTAAAAAATGTGGTTGTCCAAATAAACCAGAATCAACACAGTTTTAGGAGAGGGGAGGGAATCCTTCACCCCCGGGGCATCTCACTCTTCCTCACTCACTCAGGCACATTCTTGTGTTAACTGTACTGACTGGCTGGGCCACTGACAGCCTGATATTTGCCCTGGTGGAGGCGGGAAAAAAGAAACAGGAAGCACTGTTGCTATCTGTGGACAAACATCAGAGAAAAATGCTACTGTGACAAATGCTGTGACACCACCCTGGATTGTTCCCATCTAGTCTCAGAGCAGAGAAAGCATGGAGCCTGAGAGGAACCTGCCGGGGTTACAATGTGGTCCTGGTGCTGAAGAGCTGACAGGTGGATCACAAGGAACCTACAACTACAGTTCCACCTTACAAGAAAGATTATCTGAGATTCAAGGCTCAGTGGAGCAGAGTCACATCATAAAGGTGAGTATTCTCTGTTTATGATGTTAAACAGGTCTGTTCTTAAACTATAAAGAGCTTTTAAGCTGCCTGGATCTACTAAAGAAAGACTCAAATCTTTACACCTGTAATTGTGCGTTCATAGTATACACAATACAGCAAATATTTTTAAAGATAAGATAATTTTTAAACATGTTTGTTTGGTATTTCATATGAGTTTAGATCTGGGTTTCCAAATAAAGCAAGAAATCATGAACGCATGTTAGATTAGAGAGAAAGGAGTTGAGATGCTCTGACTGATGTTTGAATATTCCCATGATGCTGCCAGAAGAGGGACCAACAGGAAGGATAGAGTCATTTCCTGAAGGGTTATTACAGGGTCTAATTACCCGTCATGTAGACCAAGAGAAATAAGCATGTTACGTTACATTAGATTGTTTAAATTCTTTATTGGACTGTGTTAACATATTTGCTTTTATGTGACGTGGTATTACTATTTTATTTATCTATAGTCACTTCTAAGATTATTTTTCACAATTTTTTGTATATTCATAACCTTAAAGCTATTTTGGATTGAATGTAACTGACCAACACAAAGAGGTATTTAACAGAAGTTGAAGGAACACAATACATGATTTTTAAAAACTTTTATAGATAAAAAAAAAAAAAAAAATGAAAAATGTGAGGAACATTTGCACTCATCCTCACATGGTTAGTACCATGCAGAACTATTTTTTGCTGCAGTGTTTTAGTCTTCCTGTTCTTTGACTGGATCGTTTCTTAGTCTGTTTGCAGCTGACCTACACTCTTTAACTTTTTAACAGATTGGTTCATTTTTTTCATTAAGAAAAGTGTTGGTTTATAACTTAACACTGCTTTAAAAAATCTCCATAAGATTCTCTGTGTCCTGTCTGCTGTTTGCCCAAACTTTTTGATACTCTTCATTCACAAATGTCCTCTAAAAAACTACTGAGGCCTTCACACCAACTGGGATTACAGGCTCAGAAATGAAGGATCCAGTATTTTAGGCAGACAAACGGTTAGATTTGTCAGAACATTTATTGAAAACAGAATTCGTACTCGGTGGGTGACGTCCCGTCTAAGGCAGGAACCTTTCTCTTATGTACAGTCGGAGTCCAGAGGTAGAGGATTGTTCCGGCAGGCTGGCTGCCAAGCGGCTCAGTGGTCGCCGCACAGAGTCCCAGACACAGGTGTATCGGAGGTCAGAGGACAGGCAGGAGATAAGAATTGATCAGACAAACGTCGAAAGGATAATCCAGAGGGCTAAGCCAAAGCTGATGTCAGAGACTTTGAAGGTTTTCAGAGCTAGCAGTTCAGAGATCTGGTAAGGTGCCGAAGGAGAATCTGAGAGGGAGTCAGGTCACAGTTCCAGGTTCCATCAGTGGAAAAAATCAAAATCTAGATAAGTCATTTTTTCTTAAAATAAGTGTATTTGTTCTTGGATTAAGGAGGTTAAAGAGAAATTTTGCCAATGGAACAAGACAATTCACACTTAAAATATGAAAACACAATTGCATTGTCTGATTTCAAATGCATATTATCTAATTGTATTATTTTAAGAGTAAAAATACTCATTCTGTTGGTAAACTATCTCATTTAACTACTCAAATTAAGGTTAAATACACTTAATTTAAGAAATTTTTACTTATTTCTCTATAATTTTTCCAATGCATACACAATGGGGATGACAGGCTGGAGGAGGGCAGGCGGACTCAGTGGTCAGGAAACGTTCCGGTCGGTACACAAGCAGGCAGAGATCAGGCAGGCATCAGAAGACAGGTCAGGCAAACAGATCAGACAGGAATAGGCAGGCTCAGAGGTTGAGGGGCAGAACGGATCAGGATCAGGCAGTCAGAACACAGGATCACTAGAATAAGTCTAACCAACAGCTCAAAATAATCTGGCACTGAAGACTGGTCTAAAGGCTGGTTATATAGTGACTAATGCAGGTGGATCAGATGAGCAGGTAATGACAACTAAGCGGAGCTAAGCAGGTGAATGAAATGAGTAATCAGACCAGGCATCAGTGCTGAGATCATGACAACTACACTTGGAATAACTTACACAATGTACTTCGGTATCCTTTCTATGATGATGTCACTTTCAGAATCACTTTGTTTCATTTGCATTTTCAGGGGTTATGTAGGTTGAATGTAAATGACTATGCATTTAAATTTCAATTCTACTTCCTTTTTTTTTCTTAAGGGGACACCTCATATGGACCTAAACCTAAAGTCCTCCCCTGGTGATGCAGACATTCGATTAGCACGGACGGTTCAGCATGTTTTGGCTTGCCGATATCAGCCAGCACAGCTAAATAGCACAGCAATGGCTAAACAATTAAAGGATGCCAGGGTATGTCAAAAAACAAACAAAAACATCTGAATGTTTTCATCACAAATGTTGAGATAGTTTGTAAATGTGAAGGAAACAGAATGTTGTGACTGGCAGGATTTATATGTGCTAATATCGTCGAAGAGGTTTCCTTTGAAAGTATGTCTTTAGTTTGCCCATGGCAAATTGTGTTACAATAGCATGCATTAGTAATGTGGTCTAGTCAGAAAGACTGATTTTAGTTTCATATTCCATTCATTTAACTTTAAAAAATAACATTGAAATGCTACAAAGTTTTATGCATCCAGAAGCAGTTAAATTCGATTTTACCAAATTCAACTTCATTATTTTCATCTCTCTTGCTGTGCTTATTGTAGGAATTAAGGCAATCTGTGCAGGAGCAAATGGCTGCTATCAAAAGCAATGCAGCAACATTTTCAGATCCAAAGGCTTTAGAAAGAGCTGAGAAAGAATGGAGTTCAGCCTTACTGGATGCCTCTGCCACCGTGCAAGTCAAAGAGGCTCAGCTGGATCAGGTTAAGCAATATCACCTGAAGAAGAAGATCATCACAGCTTTCCTTGAGGTTATAGCAGCGGAGAAGGAAAAACTGAGCCTGTGAGCAAACTGTTCAACTCCTCTTACTTGATACTGGAAAAATAACAATCTAATATTAATGTGATCTAATTAGATTTTTTTTTTTTTTTTTTTTTTAGAAATGCCTTGGAAAGCAGTTCCCTTCTGGCTGAAAAACTGCATGCACTGCTGCAAACAATGGAACAGAAGGAATCAATGATAGAAGATTTTCTCTGCTTAAGTAGCCAGTTGTCAGTCCACTTGAGTGATGCAGAGACTTCCGTTGTTTTTGCTCAACTTGGACATTTTCAGGAGGAATGGAGGCTCCTTAAAGGAAGCATCAAAAGAGCTGATCAACAGGCATCAAATTCCGCATGTCAGGCAAAGCTTATTATAAGCGAGACTGAAAAGCTTAAAACCAAACTTGAAGCTCTTTTGAAATTCAAAAATAACAATATAAGTTCTTCAGACCTGGATGGTCTGACCACAGACCTAAAAGTGTACCAGCAGCTCTACCTACATTTGCAGTCTCAGGCGGCTGTCCTCATTCGTTTTTCTCTGGGTCAGAAGGAAAAAACTGCAATTGAAGAAAATCTTCATAATCTAAAATCCTTGCTCTGTGTCACTAAACACAATCTTGACTCTTTAGCAGAAAGCTGTGAAGGCAGTTCTCCAAGTAAAATTAACAACCAACATCAACAGTTGATCATTTTGATCAAACAAGCAGAAAATCATATTTTTTCTGGGAAAAGGTTGTCTCTTTCTCCTGAGCAGGCTTGTCTTCAGATTGCTGAAATGAGGGAATATCAGATGCAAGCTTTGTCTAGACAAGATAAGATACAGACGCAGGTTGGAGGGCTGAGAGATGAAGTGTCTCAATTGGAAAATGGAGACCCTGGAGTATGTAAAACAGCAGACCTGAATAAAACTCTTGTTGAAAGATTTGATCACGTTCTTGAAACCATGAAAAATGCCCTTGATGAAAGGAAGAAAGTTTTGTGTGAGTTTTCCAGCTTGGATGGCTGGGAATCAGAAACATGCATGAAAAGAGAGTCCTGCATCCATGTAAGGGATGTTTCGAAAGCTGACCTCAGTGATTTAGAGAGGGAGCTGAAAAGTCATCAGTCAGCAGCAGTCAAGTTGGAGACCAAACTCAAATTAGTGGATTCACTTTCAGAGCGATGCACAAAATTAGCTGTCGAGCTGAGTCTTTGTGAGAACCTTTACCTTGTCGACAGGCTTTCAGGCCTTTGGGCAGAATTCCATGGACAGCTAGCTCATGAGAAAGCCATTTGCTGGGAACTGGAGGTGCTAATCCATGAGAGAACATCCTCTAATGAGGAGTTATCGACCATCAAGGCTAACTTAGAGCAAACATCTCTTGCTTTGGAGAAACAGAACTTCTCTTTGACTGATCTGAATAATACTCTGTCAGTGATTACACATTTACAGCACAAGCTAATAGAACATCAGTGGGAGGTTCAAGGGCTTCAACATTGCCAGGAGGATCAAAGAAACTCTGTGCTGTGCCTCATTGGGGAACTGAATGACCAGTGCAAAATTCGAAGAATAAATGCTGTTGATCAAAGCAGATACTTATACCTCAGAGGACAAACGGAGGCATCCATGGAATGTACCAAAAGGCAAATCGAGGAGGCTAAAAATCAGTCAGTGAGCATTGCTAAGAGATTAAGACTGTGTCGGACATTGCTGGTTGAACTTACCCTGGTCAGTATTCAATGTCAGGATACCACCAATCAGTTGGAAGCTATAGCCAATGAGTTGCAGTCAACTGAGCTTCATTCAGAGAGGGAAAAGCTTCAGCACATGGTAGAAACGCTGAACTCCTGGGAGCATTCTGTCACGGACGATATGAAAAATCTGGAGGCACAGCTTTTGACAGGTCTTCAATTTTCATTTGAACTTCCCACATTGATGGAGCTGTTACAGAGAGCTAAGAGGCAACTGGAAAAAATCAAACAAGTCCAGGTAGATGAAAAAGCAATAGATAATGCCATATCACAGTGCTGCTTCATTAGGACAAATGTAGAGTCTGGGATGCGAGTGTTGGAAAGCCTGGCACAGAAAGATAACCTCAACCTGGAAGACTACAAGGAGCTGTATTCTCTCAGAGACGTTGTAATGCAAGAGGGTCATTCATTGATGGTAAACTTGTTAACAGAATAACAAATCTTCTTATTTACTCATTTGAATGTTGTCTTTTTGAACAGTTGACATTTGTCCAACAGGTCAATCTGTCTCAGGCCAGGGAATCCTTTAAAGACTATCAATGGGCTGCTCAAGGAGCAATAGGTTTCCTTCATAATGCAGAGGCAACCTTCTTGTCTGCTCCAGGGGGGTTTTTGGATTGTACCCAGGAGCAAAGACAGACCCAAGAAGCTTTGGAGGTTCTTGAAGATGGCTTTCAAGCTCACATTCACCATCTTGTGGAAAAGGTGCCCCAGCATAGCTGCCTCTCATGGCCAGAGACTGAGAGCCTTCATATCAGCATCCTCAGCCAGTTGCTAGTTGGGAGAGCTGTTTTGGAAGCTCAGGCAAAACTCAGACAGGAATGCTTGGAGAGGTACTGTGGATGGCACAATGATATCAAAAAAATACCTTTACATTTTGAATCTATTTTTATGCCTGTTTTGTGTATACTTTCTCCACTCACAGGTGTGAAATAAGGCAACAAACCCATAAAAAGTGGCATGAAGACGTTAAGCAGGAACTCTTACATCTTGAATCCAAAATTTCAGAATGTGCATCAGAGCTGGTGACATCATATGACGAGTGCATCACTCAGCAGAAAAGAGCTAAGGTAGGTGAACGCAAGTTTTACTTCTCTTGATGATGGATCCATCAGAGCCTTAAGTTTGACATTACTGTTTGACCGTAGGGAATTACTTTAGAAATGAACTTATCAATAACACTCTTGTCATATGTTCAAGATGCATGCTGACAATGATGATAAGTTTAATTCAAGCCTAATCTTTTTATAAAGGTTCTAAAAGAAGATCTTCAAACCATGGCTGGAAAGTTGGATGACCTGAATGTTGGATGTCCAGTTCAGGGTTGTGGAGTTGGAAAGGATGGTGAGCTTGGTGCCCTCTGGAGACACTGGACGTCGTTAAGACGAGGCGTGGGCCTCCTGTTGGCCCGTGCAGAACAGAAGGGAGAGGAATGGAAGGACATTACAACAAGCGTGAGTCTTATCATTCATACCGTCAGGTAGAGAGTAATGGAGGCTCAAAGAAACTCCACTGAGTGCTATTACTGTGCTGTATAACTTTGCTATTATGAAATTTTAATTTTACTTTGCGTAGATGGAGCAGAGTTGCAGCTATTTGGCCAGTCTTCAGGCTGAGCTGCCAGACGCCTCCAGTGTGAGTTTCTCTCAAAAGGAACCCCAAGAGCTTCTGGCGCAGGTGGAGCTGCACCTGTCAGGTTTGGATCAGGAGCAGCAGGCACTTTTGTTCCTGGAACATCGGCTGATGCACGCTTTGGGCCTAAAGTTTTCCCAGGATTCCATCAACCTTGGACAGATTGGCAACACACGGGAGAAGATCCAAGAGAGCATTAGGAGGTGGAATTTTGTTTAATATGACTTCTTGAAATGATAGAGCCAGATGTGAGATAGATGTTAAACATTATTTATCCCCACAGCTTGAAAGAGAAAAGCCTTCTTCTTAAGGCTGCAGCAGAAGAAGAGGAGAAAAAGAGACTTCAGGTTCAAGAAGAAATACAAGATGTAGAGAAAAAAATGTTTGCAGTCTTATCAAAGCTGGAAATGAGTTCAAATCTAATCAAAAAGCAGGTCAGCTCACACATTATGCATCAACAGCTTAAAAAAAAGTATTTTATAATTCATAAGGAAACAGATGGATTTTATATCCAATAATTATAAATGAAAATATATTTATTATAAATGTTTGAAAGTAAATGTTTTACCAAAAAAATAAAAGATGGCATATTTTCCCTCCAAAAAGGAATTGCAAGAAAACATTTTCTGTGTAAAGAGTCAACTTGAACTTCTCATGGGAAGCCTGGAGAGTCGATATACAGAAATCCCAACAGATATCGGAAAAAAGATGCAAAATCTCAAACAATTTGCGCAGAATGCCGAAGAAACGGTGACGTTCACATTTATCTCTACTGACAAATTGATTATCTGTCTTTAACCATTTTTTAATAAATGGTATATTTCTGCTCAACAGCTTTTGGAAATGGACAACCCAGTCAGGATTCTGTCTCGTAGAGTGAAGGAACTGGGTTCTGGTTTGGATAAAATAAAAACATTACTGGAGCAGAGAAGTCCAACAATTAAAGAAGCTCAGGATGTCCTCAAGGTAATTCTGTTTTATTTTGTATTTTTGGTTTTGTTGTCATGAACGCGTGTTTTCTAATTCCAGATCGTATAATATCTATAATAATTTGGTCTTCCACAACTCCAAATTTCTTTATCTGCTTTTTATCAATGAATTGCACTTTTTTCCCTTCACCAGCAGAGCTGGAGAATATGCCAGGTTTTGGACATTAACACTTTTTAATTTATTCTAAAGTAAGAGCATAGAAAACTGAAAATACAGTAGCATTTTAAATTTATCTATTAACCAATAACAAAAAAACCCCAAAAAAAACAAAGATAACCCTAATATGATCCACATTGTTGTTAAAAGGCTTTTATTGTTTTCTAGTGTGTGTGGGATGAACTGGATGCTTGGCATAGCAGCTTAATGCTCCTCGAGAGTGAAGTGCAGGATCTTGCAGAAGACCACCCAAATGAGGCCCAGGTTCTAATGGACCAGCTCACAGAACCATCTCAGCTCTATCGGAATGCATCCCTGATGGCTGAAAACCGCACCTCCTTCCTCAGCAAGGTCTTCCATATGCACTACTAGTTTAATTATCAACCTATTATTAACTTTTTGTCCCCCAGCACTGAAAGAAATTATGAAAAAGATATATTATCCCAACGAGATATCTAATTGGGGTATTTTTAAGTAAATTTTTTTTGTTTGTTTTCCATTGTTTTGTTCCTGATGTTAGATTCCAGCCTGCCTTCAAGAGTTTGAAGACACAACAGACAGAGCGTCCAGCTGGATAGCAGAAGCTCAGTCATGGCTCAGCACTCCCTGCATGTTTACAACAGCTAAAAGTCTGCACAATCATGTCAAGTATATACAGGTCAGAAGTCCTTTTTTTTTTTGTTTTACAAATGTTTGACTTCTATTATGGTACATGTTTTGACTTAAAGTGTAAGGGTCTGATCCAAAATGGCTTTTGCAAAAAAGAAAAGAGAACTTTATCTGTAATAAATGGGAATGTTGCTGGAATCTGCTAAGATTATGTGCACCATACATAATATTACTGTTTGCCACCATGGAGAGTTTGGGAAAGCAGATTGGATTTGTTTTAGGGTTCCCACCATTCATATTAGCGATGCTCACAAATAGCAGGCATCATTAATAGATGGAGAGCAAACAGCTAAAGAAGAGAAATGACCCCACTTTTTGTATAAAACAATTAAAAAAAGAAAATCCAGACCTACTGCCACTAAAGCTTCTAGTATCTGGATCGTTCTAACAGCTGCGCCCAGTCAAAGTATTTGAGTCAATTTCTTAAACTATATGAAGTTCTCTTTGTTATATTTTCCTTTCTTATGGTATTATGACTGTTTGGGGTTTATAAAAAAGGGGGAAATGGTTGGTCTGCATAAGTTCTCTTAAAAAAATTTTCAAAAACCCTGGAAGGAAAACCGATTTTTCTTTTTTGTCTTATCAATGATATTCATTCTTAATGCATAACTTGAATAATATGATAGATTTAAAGTTTTCAAATGTCATAAAAGAGCAGCTATTTATTGCATAATATAATGCATTTAACAGCTGATTAACAGGGAAATTCTCATTCATCAGTTGAAAAACAGTGTCATATTCATGGGTCTCACAACTGTTTACACAAATTGATATTGCCTTTTTTTTAAAAAGACTCTGTGCTAGCTCCTTTTCCACATGATCAGTAACATCCACATGGCCCCCCTACCTCAAAAAAGGAATCTGAGAGAGAACACTTGATCATCTATTCTGGGGGATGGCATTAACTCTGGAATGATCCATGCAGAAGTGAGAGGAGCTTTTCCATTGGCTTCTATTTGTGACTGGCTCCTAGTCAGCCCTAAGTTCATCTAGGTCCTCAGATAAAGTGTTGCTCAATAGATGATGGATATGTTCTATTTTATTCTCTGACAGTCTGCATAGGTTATTACACCCACAGAGGGGTTTCTCTCTCCCTTCTCTGTCATTGCATCTGTGCCAACTTCTCACCACAATCAAAACAGACATTATTGCATGCAATAATGTCCTTGCATGTCCTTGGATAGTGTCCTTGTCCTTACATCAAACTTACTAAACATGGATGCAGAAACTGGGCATGCAATCTGTTTCAGATTTGAAAAAAAAAGACTTGCTGCATGTGGTATTTACATTTGCATATTTTCGTCAAAATATTTTGTACTTTCTGATAGGCAGCAAATCTTCTACATATTCATTAAAGCAAACACACCAAATGGACTGTGCCTGTAATTATGCCAATTTCACAGACAGTGCTGCCTGCGCTCGTTTGGTAGATCAGGTTTGCGTTCTGTCAAATTTGCATGTGTTTCTTTACATGTTTCTTTACCTTTGGCAGGTCAGGCCCATATGTTCTAGTGCAGATATTCAGTTTGATAATAAACCATAAGCCTGCTATCAGATACCAAATTCAGCATCATTATCCACCCCGCTTATACTTTGCACACAATGGGGGGTGTCAATCGCTATCATCTGTATGAGTTTGAGGTGAACCTCTAGTTATGCCATCCTGGTTAGAGAGCAGTTTTGACCATATCATGTAATCATGTAGTCAGTAATGATGCAATGATTTGTGAGTTTTTTGTGTTTTTTTTGGAAGTGTTTATTACTGGTTGTAATCTTTTACTCTTTAAATTGATATATCTGGGATAGTTGATCCTGGAGGACTCGAAGAGGATCAGACAGACCCTGAAAACGTTTAAATCAATGCTGGAGGAGATCTCTGCTGTGTGTGACGTCAGCAGTCAGGAAGAAAGGCTGGACCAAAGAGACCAAGAGGTTCAGGAAATGCTACAGACCATCATTCAGCCACTCGCAGAACTTCAGCAGCTCACTGAGGTAAAAACATACTAGATGTGTGTTATTTGGTAGATAATTCACACTAAGCAATCTTAGTAATCCTCAACTTAAATAAAAGCTACGGAGCTTCACCCTGTAGGCTGGCACCATATGAATTAGGTCACAGTTAGACAGTTATAGCAGCTCTGATGATTCCTGATTAACTGAAACACTTGATGTTAATTTCTCTTTCAGATAGTAGAGATGGTTGAAGCTGACATTAAGGGTATGGAGAAAAACGTCACAAAAATAAGGACCATATTATACTCCATGGACAATGAAGACATAACTCTGACCGAACATCTCTACCACTGTGAGGTAAAACACCAACGCTGCTCTGACTGTCCTACGGATATCAGATGAATGTCGCCAATCCAGCATTCTGATCCAGTCTTTTTTTCATTTATTTATATCATAAACAACCATACTTACATTTTCTACAACAAGTTTCAGGCAGCTGCTATATTTTATAGTATATGTTAAAATATTTGTTTGCAGGTTACTTTACATGGAAGTGTTATGTATTTATTTTTGCTGCTAAAGTAAACATATTTGTTGATAAGAAATGTTAAGTACATTTATATCTGTGTTATCTATTTAATATTTTTTTAACAATATTGGTCAAGGTTAATGTCTTTACTCATATAACATTCATTCATTTGACATTAGCACCGATTCACTCAGGACAGGTTTCTGTATCAAGAGGAGATTAAAAAA